CCCCAAAACCCCAAAACCCCAAAACCCCAAAACCCCAAAACCCCAATTGTCTCGAATGCAGTTGAAATATCTATCTTAATAAAAATATTATTAAATAATATTATTAACAAAAATCGATATGCTAAACAGACTACAATTGAGAGGAAGAAGCATCTCCAAGTACTTCCATAGCATAGCTCAGGCGAGACCTAGCGCCTCTGTGGATCTCTACATTCCTAATGGGGCAGAGAATATCTTTGGCATCAGGGACAAGATTGACGAAGAAAGCATTCTAAATACTCCTAGCCCTTTTGTAGCCGATAAGGCAAAGAGCCTATTTGAGAAGTACAAGTTAGGTGAAAACGATCAATTTTCTTTTGTCGAGCTCACACTTGGCAAGAGGATCAAGCTTACTCATGATACATACCTTTTCAAGCTGGATTTCCCAGAGGAAGATAAAGACCTTGTCATGGGGACTGACATTGCGAGGGCCATTCGGTTCTTTAAAGTCCTGCCAACCAAGGAAAATCCCGAAGGAATTATGATCAAAAGGTAAATTGGAATATCTAATGATGTATAGATATTATACCACTTCTTCTCCAGTCGACATGAAGGGGTCAGTTGAAGTCCCAATTAAAATCTACAGGTAAATATTTTGTGTAAAATAAATTAGAGCCAATGAAAATTCTGAGTTTTCTGAAGGAGGAGTAATGACAACCTATCTCGAAAATATGAGATTAGGAGACAAAATCCTTGTAAATGGACCAATTGAGAGACTCCAGTATTACGGAAATGGGCTCGTTCGAACAGGTGAAAAAGGACCCTATGATATTGTAAAGAAGGTAAGAGAATTCGCCAACATTTATCAGAAGTTCCTAACCTCGTGTTTAGAATCATTTGGCATTTGTAGTTGGAGGAAGTGGAATCACTCCTTACTACCGGATTATCAAGGACGCTCTAGAGAATGGAGATCCCACAAAGTTCACTCTTATCTACAGTAATAGGACCGAAGATGACTTTATTTTTGGGGACGAGTTAGAAGAACTAGCACTTTTATATCCACACAAATTCACTTACAAAAAGGCTATCACAAATCCACTAAACCATGAAAATTTGGAAGATGTACACATTGGAAGGTTGACACCAGAATACCTCCTGGAGCATCTTCCAGCTCCAAATGAAAATGTCCTAGTGGCTAATATGGGCCCAAAGTCCTTCAATAGGTTCTTTGCAAACTTCATTCTTCGCCATACCTCGTACGACCCTATCACACAGGTCTTCTCTCGAGATGTGGATTCATTAATATTCTAAGCAAATTCTTAATTTTAACCCTTTTGTGACCGCGAGGGGTTTTGGGGTTTTGGGGTTTTGGGGTTTTGGGG